TTGACGTTACTGATCAGCTGATTGTCTCGCTAAGTAACAAGCAAAGCCAAACCACAGACTGGAGAATAAGTAGGCACCATGAAATTAATCCATATTTCACATCACTGACAGGGGAAACGCGTCATGGCTCACTGTGATTATGGCCAGCTAATAGCTAAAGCTATCAACCAACAGTTTTCATTTGCATTGCTCAAGTCTGATAAACAAAGTTAATTACCTGTCCAGCAGAAAACAGACAACTTCAGCTCCGCTTTGAAAACATCTGTCCCATATTAACAATATAGCCTTCCATCTGGGGAAAATCCACGTGATTTCTGCCGTCAGCTGTCTGTCCCAACTCCGTCTGGCTGTCGGCTCTCGTGCTAAATAACACCTGTGTGCTCCTTCATATGTCCAAATGTCACTTCTCTTCTTACTTCTAATAAACCAGAAGACTACTCGGAGACTGTATATTACTAGTAATATTATTATTAGTCCCTCTTCTTCTTCTTTGTACGTAGTCAATGTGATGGGCGTCTACTCTACCGGAATTAGACAAGCAGAAGAAGAACGCCGTGATGACAAAACGTGGGGCCTTTCCAAAACTGCTTGCTACTCCCTCTCCCTACCTACTTCCACTCCGTTTGCGCGTTCATGCGGAGGTTCCGCCACATTGAGTGCCATCTGAAACCAATGAGGGCGGAGTGGTAGTGGGTTGTTAAACCCTCAAATGCCGAGTCAGCACCGATGCTGGCTTGTTGAAGGTGTGCAACACCCTTTGCTGCACGATGGGGGACCTTTCTTTAAATTTGCGTTTCGCATGACTTCGCTGATTAACATGTACATTCACAGGTTAACAACGTAGCCCATATGATTTATACTGAAATGTTGTATTTGTGAATGTAACATTTTTCATATAGGCTAAGTTAAAGAGGTTCACAACGCTATATAGGCTTTTCTTTAGGCTACAATGAATATCAATCTTTTCATAAAATAATATAATATTTATTTTTCATAAATATATAAAGTCATGTTCAACACAAACACAAACACAAAATTAATGACAAATGCTTTCAGTTTTGTTATTGCAAAAAACACACTTCTCCTCAACATCAATCCTGAATCTTATTCTTTGATCCACGTATTATAGCAGTGAGTGCAGCGGTAACGTCAGATCCTATTTATGCTGGTGAGAGAGGGTAGTTAGTCCGAAAGTTGTTGCTGCATTTAAACCCTACGTGGGTTAGGGAGCTCGATTTGGCCTGGAGGGTGACCAGAGTTCACTCCGTGTCGGAGTGGAAGTGGCGAGGGTCTAGACTCGGAAAGGCCCGCGCTCTGTAGCGCTGTTTGTTCGTTGTCAGCTACGGTAGAAACATGCCGACAAAATACAGCGACCTCCATAGGAGGGGGTGCCCGTGGTTATGTAGATATAAATGTCTCATTCTAAGGTAATAAAAACATAATGGTTTATTATGTAAGGTCTTTACACACCACTGAAAACATAGTTATGGATCTTATATTGCATTTCTGTCAATAGAGCCTCAGAAATATTACACACTGGACCTTTAAGAGTAAGATCTTATTTTAGGTCTTTTTAACCCTTTAAAACAACAAAGTCACACAATAACACAAACAAGCTAACTGACAGAGGCAGCGCTAGACCAGCAACTCCGGTAGACCAGCAAATCCCATATGTACTGCGAGGTACATTTACTGGATCTTGCTCTTTAAACAAAATAAATAAACATCCTTACAAGCTGTAAGTCAGTAAAAAGTAGTGATTTTGGAAGTGATTTAAAACAGGATACTGATGCTGCTTTCCCAATCTCCTCAGGCAGCCAGGTTGTTCCCAAGCCCAAGGGCACTGGCAGAAGGCCGATCAAAGTCTGTCTGTCTGTCTCTGTGTGTGTGTGTGTGTGTATGTGTGAATGTGCACTGTAATCTTTAATACAGTATGTGATCATTCTGCTTGTGTTGCCACAGGTGTGCAGAGACCGCCGATGCCAGAATGCCTCTTTTACCGAGCTGGAGACTTGCATTGCACGCTGCCACAGCAACGGGGTAAGCGCGCACACACACACAAGCATAAAGAGTCATGCAACAGACTCAACTCACTTAGCCCCCGGGCACAGCTCCCTAATCTTATTGTCACACTGTGTCCTTGGGCAAAGGTAGCGCTTTGCAGCGCTGTCACCAGGTCTGTCGTAAAAGGCAGGAAAATAGATGGCTGGAATACAACAGCAACTGAAGTGATGAAGTATTTATTGGAGCAGGACAAGCAAGCCTGAGGCAGATAAGGAGGAATCATACATAGTTTATAAGTCAGAAACCAAGCTCTAAAGTGGAGTGTTTGGGGCTTAAACACTTGTTACTTTAAGAGAAGATGTTGATTGGGGTTATTTATCGGGGAACTCTGACTTTAACCTTGGAGCCTTGGAGTCTTTGAATGGGTCTGATTCTTTGATTGTTTGAATGACCTGTTGAAGGAAACCCATCAAACATAACCAGATAAGCAGATAAAGAACATGGATGGCTGAATGGTGACATGAATGGGTGAATGCATAAATGAATACCTAAAATATCAAGAGGATGTGAGCGCAGTTATGCCATATCTTAGGATATATATGTATATACACATACACATGATCCCTCACTGACTTCCACACACAGTCATTTGCGCTTTTTGAAGTTAACGTTCAAGCCGTGCAGACCTCCACAAGGAACAGAGAAGCAGCATTCTGCAGTGGTGGATAGGAACTCAAAATGGTGCCACCTTCTTTAAATGCTAACTCAGATAGCATTGTTTGTATTTACTTACACTTGTCTTATGTGTTTTTAGTTATTAATTCGCACAAGTGCATTCAAAGGAATTAGTAGCAGCTGTGCTCATTTATAATCACTCATGTTAGTAAATTCCCCTTTACATAAAAGCCTGCAGCAATCCAAAATATTCTCTGACAGGAATTTGCAAGAAACCTAATAAATCTGCCCTCAGGTGTTTCAAACAGAAAATATAAAGTTATATAGACTGAAATTGATACTGTAAGCATACAGCACACTGATATACCGGTACACAGTATCTCTGTAGTTATATGAAATGCAATAATCTTGTGATCTTTGAAGATACAATGAAAAGGCAAGCCAGATTTTGAGATTCTGATGAAGGATATTCAGCTGCGTCGTCGGTGGGAAAATATAGCCCAGAGCCTAAAAGTCCCACTAAAGTTATTTTTTATTGAGAAACATCAAAGGGTCAAGCCTCTGAGCAGGCAAACTTGCTGGTAAGTGTAGCTTACAAGCCTGTGACATTTTTTTATTAGCAGTGGTATTGAAGAATAAGAACCACACCCTTTAGCAACTAAACTGACCAAGTGCTACAGTACAGCTGACTGGCTAATTAGCTATCAAGCCTGCAAGCTGATGTCAGCGGTGCACTTTCCCCAGTGAATATTTGTTTGGTAGCTGATTCAACAGGACGAAGTGCAGGACAAGACTCCAGGCTCGTGGGAGGACAAGGAGACATCAGCTGGAAAGGTTCAAAGCACGTGGCTTCCTTTGTGTCAGGTCTTAGGCTGTCACAGTGAAATTCTGTCCATTCACAGCTTAGCAGCTCTAGTAAGATACAGCAGGCATTGTAAATGTATTGAGTGATTCTTTGTAGCCACAGAGGTTGGAAGGTTGAGTATTTTCTTATCGACTCTCCAAAATCAAAAACACAAGAGCAAAAGTGTGAGGATGAGATTAAACAGGGTATTTCTCCATTCTAACATCAGCCACTAACCTTAGCATGCCGGGCATACATACATAGCCTAGCATTACTTCCAAGGCAGAGAGTTAGCATGTTATCACCTAACTATTGTAAAACTTCAATTAATAGCCCGGGCTTTTATTTGCTTAAATCACTAAACTCACGCTGCTTATATTTGGGACAGGCCTTTAATTCCTTTTTGCATAAAACTCTTGCTCAGCAAAGAAGGGAAATAAGCTACTATCAAATTATTTATTTCAACCAGTATGAATATTATTTTGTTTCTCTTGTTGCCCATATAGGCCTAAATTTTAACATTTATATTTGTTTGCACAATGCTTAAAACTAAAGGCCTGGTCAGGACTGACACATCCGCTGGGTGGGCGCTGCTGTAGTATCAGTCCTGGATGGTATAATCAGGGTTTAGGGTAACGTTAGTGGCTCTGATGTGCCCTCTATTGGTTTTGAGGATACATTTTCTGAAATCATCAGTAGGTCATTATTCTCAAATACCTTTTTTTCCCATGTAAAAGGAAATACAGTATATCGTCTGAAAGCACTTACTTACAGGGGTTACTTTTAAAAGCTAGCAAGCTGCAGCTGATAAAATCTGCCAGGGACAGTTGTCCTTTCATCGGGAAAAATCGCCACCAATTAAAAATGGGAAGCCTCTAAAGTGTACTTCAAACAAGGACCCAGTGTTTAAAAATGTCAGAAATGACAGTTGTGAGTGGTAAACCTGCCCCTGTCATCACTGTAGAAGTCATGCGAGCCATGCTTAATGAAGGGTCAGTTCTGACTGGAAAATGAACAGACAGAAGGAGCTGTCACAAAACCAAAAAATATTTCATTAAAATAATTATTATATTAATATTAAAGCGGTTAGCTTACAGTAGTCGCTACACCACACAGCTTCTAACACCACCTGTTTTGTTGCAACATGTGGATAGTCTGCTATCCCACTTTTTAGTGTGACCAGGCCTTTAAACCCAAGACATTTTCAAAAATGTACACATTTTTTCAAGGCCAGTTTCATACATATAGTATGCATGCAACCCTAGTTGGCATGGCCTACTTTGCATTTTGCTCTGTTACTTGTTTTGACCCTGAGCGTTTGAAGCAAACCCAGTCTAACCGGAAATTTCACACCTCTTTAAAGACTCAAGTCTCTGTTTACCCCATCTAGTGTATAAGGAATGAGCTTACCACTGACCTGGCATTGTGATTTGATTAGGATTTGAAATATTTAAATGGAGAAGAAAAACACCAGACATATCCTCTCTTCCTTTAATCCCCTTCTCCTCCTCTCTTCTGTTGCTTTATGCTGTTTGTCTTTTTGTTGTTTGCTCCTCTTGGTGTAACTGTAGATGGATAATGGAAGTGGCTTTGAGTCAGGATTATTCTAAATAGACAGTTTTGCCTTCCTTCCATCTCTGGGTCTCCTGTGTTAGGATGTGTTTTTAATTTACCATTATCATTTGATTCACATTGATCCTCAGGCTTTTGGAGTGCACTGGATGTTCATGCAAATAAACAGGAATAATGAGCAGAGAAAGTTCTACTCGCTTCTTAAAAAACCCTTAGCAAAAATGGAAGAAACTGGTCTTTTGAAAAACTTCTATTAGAGATTTTCATTAAAGAAGCTTAAGACATATTAGGAGTCCTGGAGACATAGACGGCTGGAGGATATATAATATAATATCAATGATGGTGTGTTTAAATCCAGGTCATGGCATTTCATTTCATTAGGCTTTCCCTTCTTACCTTTATATGATGTTGAAATGCCTTTAAAAATATGCTCTTCAAAACATGGTAATACATTTTCTCATATAAACAGCGGCGGGCCTCCTAAAGCGAAAGTAGAAGAGCGATAAGAATCAGCAAACATCTGTGCGCCCTTCATGTCGACCGAGTGCTAATGGGGTAAATAGGCATGTTAATCACTGGTAGGATAATTACATCTCGATGTAATTGGAGCATGGCAGTATTGGTGAATTACACGAGACGTCTGGAAATATTAATCAAGTTTAAATGGTAATATCTAGATAAAGGTTTCTTTTCACAAGGTTAAGACAAGTAAATTAAAAGCTCTTAGAGGTGATTTACTGCCAAATGTAGTGAAGTAATAGGAGTGTTTTCCAGTTCAGGTCACATTTTGTCCCTTTAGTCAGTCTCAAAGGTGTCAGATTACTGGCAATATTCAAATGTCTGTTTAGTGAAACGGCTAGCAGTCATTTTTATTGTTAGGGATGTGTGAAAATTATTGGGGTGGGGAGGGGGGTTGAACCTCTGCTCAGCAGCATTATTATGTTTGGGGGGGGGGTTGTCCATCCCCTTGACTGTTAGAGAAATTGTACAATTGTACAATTCGTTTAACATTAGTATCATATAAAATCTTAGTATTGCGTTAGATTTTCTGGAAATTCAGTTGAGACAGTGTTTTGGCAGAATTAAATACCTGGCACATCAGAGTGCTTCATACCAAGCAGATAAAAAGCCAATATTGCGGTAAAGCAGTCCTGACTATAGAACTGACCATTTTCTAAATTCCTCCCTCAGCTCCCTCAGCTGTTGTCGTAGCAGCTGTAATTGGGCAGTTTCTCAACATGCTGAAGTGGTGTGACAGCTCTTAATTAAGCCATTAACATTAGCATGCATGACTATCTTGCTTACTACCTGCAGCGTTACTTCCAAGGCCAAGCAGTACATCATCTGATACCTACATTATTTTGTTGGGTTACAGGTTACCTTAGAAAACAGATATTATACTGTACTATAATACAAGGGCAGCAATGCTGCTCCATTACTTGTCTTCTGGGATCATCAAATGTTGAGAATTCTGACTTCTTGCCTGGGACATTTATCATTAGCCTCACTGTAGCATGATATAATGTTGGGAATTAGGGTTCAAATGGCACTGGCATAAGTTCACCTTGGGGCACCACTCTTTAAGAAGAGAAAATGTATAGCCATAATTATTTCAGTCTCATAGACTATACTAAACTATCAATTTGGAACTCTTATTAATAATTTCATTAATAACTATAACCATTATTACCGTCAACAGCTAGTAGATTGAAGGATTTGAAGTTCTACATAGAAGAGGTGGGGGCTTTTTCACTCTAAAGGCCAATCTATAGTTCTGCATTGAGTCTACACCAAGCCAGCTAACTTGAATCGGGGTAAACTGATAATTGTACAGCTCTTCTAGACTTTCCAAATGTTATCGGACTGAATGGGTCAAACTCTGGTAGTGAAATTAGTCATTTTTTGTGGGTTGTGATGCTGAAAAAAATTGTATTACAGCTACTTCTTTCAGAATGTGTGTCTATGGGAAAGTGTCTGTTTGGCCACTAGTAGAAGTGGCTTCAAAGTACAGAAGACCTTACTGGTGGCTTGGAGGAAATGCGATGCTACCAAGCCAACCAATGGCAGTGCTAGCCATCAACGCCGCCACATGTAGTTAAATCTTTGGGGAGGTGCGTGTCAGGCTACGTGTCGCAAATGCTAGGGCGTACCTATTGCAGAGATTCAACGCATAAGTTTAAATTTGCCTTTATGCAACCTAACAAGCCTTTATTGAAAAGATAAACTCACAACATAAAACCTAACTGAAATATTCATAACGTTACGCGCCACAAAGAATGTGCATCTGTTTCGGTGATCTGCACTATATGTTCAGCGTGCACGAGCATGAACATGCAGACAAAGAAAGCACAGTGAAGCTGGAGCTTGTGATTTTGTTTGAGGCTAAATCAGAGGTGTATGTGTGTGATCTGTGTGATAACATTGCAAAGATAAAAGGAGTGAGTTATCATCCAAAGACTGTTACTAACCTCAATTTAGCATTGGCTGAGAACTACGGTTACAGTAATAACCTCATGTTAACCATGAAACGATCACAACAATAAACATCAGTGAAAACACATCCATACATATAAATGTACAAAGGCTAACAATCCCACATTTAGCAAAGGAATGTTACACTGTTAAGTTATGTTATGCCCAGTTACCTGTCTGTGGAAGAAGAGATGTTGCTTTGGTGTGCTAGTTGTTAGCTTGTGGTTCTGTTGTAGGTTAGCCAGGCAGGGAAGTTCAGTTGCAGTCTTTTGCTGTGTGTGTTTTCCAAGTGCGCTGATGGAGGACCCAGTCACTCTGTCTGTTCTCCTCAGAGTTAAACCGCTAGGTGAAAAGCTACTTTGTTGCTTCTATTGGCATGTGAACCTATCAGGAAAACTTTGTGTATGGGGCCCCTGGCTAACTGAGCTGGTTTGCAGGGGTCTTAGGCAGGCACTTGTATCGCTGCTGTAAGATAGAGAGTTCGGTTCTCCTGTGTGTCCAATCTGAGCAGGACGCACTGGGAGACAGCTGCTGTGGAGAGTCCAGAGAAACAGAAGTTGGGCTGAGGTCTTGTTGGTGTTGTGACGTCACGGGTCATAGGTCACACTGACCAATAGTAGCTGAAAGCTGGGTCCATGTGCAGAATTCACACCTTGGTGGGACTTCCTGGAGGATTGTGGGAAACTGAATTCAATGGCTCAGTTTCATAACAAAAGTTCAGTTTAGGTCACACAAATGAACACATTCAGTCCCTGGGGTCCCAACAGCAGCCATCAAGTGCATATTAAAGGCCAATTTAAAGGGTTTTCATTTTAAAAGGTGTCAGCTGAAGGCAATGTTATCAACCCCCAGAGTTAAAGTTAATTAGCTAGATGGAGCTGACAAAATCTGCCAGCAAGGGTTTCCATTCCAACCAGAAAACTAGAGGAGTTCACTCAGTGGAGTGCAGATCTCTGCCAGGTGTGTCTGGGGGCATGTGGGTGGAGAACAGGAAGTGTGCCCAGCTTGAATGAGACTAGTGGAATAAATGGGAGAACATTTTTTGTATTGTGTATAATGTAAGTTTGTAGAGATGTACACAATGCCAAAATGTGGCCTCCAACAGACTACATAGGAACCTTGTTTTTAGCAATTGCCGGGAATGCCTTTTGCTATGTCTTAACGCATATATTAAATTGAATAATACTGCAGAAAAGACAGTCAATAAAATAGGTTTTTCATAAACTGTGAATCACTGCAACCACAAGAGGTCCTTGAGCATACAGTCATAAATATGCAAAGAAAATATTAGGCTGATGGTTCCAGTAGTATGCGAGATTAGCTGCAGACTGCTGACACACGCTCACATGCCCAAATGCATGGCAAATAATAATCAGCTACACATAGGATGTTGTTTTTTCTACCTCTGGTTGAAATAATTGTTTCAACAAATGACTATGAAAGTTTTAGCATCAGTAACTAGGGGGGAGGGGGGAAAGCAACATTGCCAACATTGACTGAAGTCAACCAGAGATATTAAAGGAATAACTCCTCTGTATAAACACTACAGCAAAATCTCTAACAGCAGACATATTTCTTTAGTCTCAAGGTGTGTGTGTGTAGATATATACCACGCCTAGCTGGTGCAGGTTAGAAATTAACTGTCTGCAGTCTGTTCCATTCAAAAGGTAAATATCTAAGACCGCCAGTCTGTAGTAAACCAGGAATTACTGCTTCTAATTTTGCCAGTACACCTCTAGGTACACATATATACAAGATTACACTGAGACTGAACAGTACATCACATTAACAAGTGTGTGTGTGTGTGTGTGTGTAGGTGTGTAACAGTAATGGGAACTGCCACTGTAATCGCGGCTGGGCACCACCATTCTGTGAGAAGCCAGGACTCGGCGGCAGTGTGGACAGTGGACCTGTCCAGTATGACAGTGAGTAGACACACACACACACACACACACACAAAGAGTCCTGCTATTGTGTCCCTGCATTTGCATACTAATAAAACAAATTAGAAATTGGCTAAATGGTTATTATAGTGTAGGTTTTCCCTCCACGGTTCTGTTTTCAGATTATTTTCTAAAACCTTGCTTCCTCACTGACACACCAGAACAATGACATCATGTTTAAACTTGTGCAGGCCACCAGAGCCAGCAGCTTTTGGAAGGTGCAGGAACATTTCTCTGCTTTTGTCTCAGGTTCTGCATCCACATCTGCAAATACAATTATATTCCTTTTCAAGTTGGACAATAATTAGCTTATTTAATGATTGTCGATAAAAGCTAATTCACATGAGAGACTTCACTGACAAACATCACAGAGGGCTTGTCCATTCAGCATACTTAATTTCATCATTATTCTTCAGTTCATGTTCTCAAATGTCATTCAAAATTGTCTAAATTTCATTCCATATATATAAAATGAGAAAGAGGGAGATATGGTTATTAGATGTCGTCTTCATGGGCATGTCTTCCATTTAATAAGATAATGCACCCAGGCAGCCATAATTCACTATAGGGTTATCCTCGTCTATTGAGTTACCATTCTCTGTAGGCCTGTAGAAGTGACAGTCAGTGGCTTATAGACAAGTTAAAGACACATGTACAGACTGTAATTAGAAACCTGATGACATGATAACCATGTACAGACATGTGAATAAGACGGTTACTCAAGCAATGTAAATATCACATCTCAAATCTAATCAGGATACAGGATATGACTCCTATCGGACATACTAGTGTACATGTGTTGTGTGTGTGTGTGTTGTCTCCACAGGTCAGGTGGGGCTGGTGGTGGGGCTGCTGTTTGCCTTCCTAGTGGTCCTGCCTGCAGTGCTGCTGGTCTTCTACTGCTACAGGATTAAGACTTCCTATTACCATAAGTGGCTTTCCAAGAGAGAGAAGAACAAGAGCAAAAAGTACTGTGTTCTGTCTGTCTGTCTGTCTGTCTGTCTGTCTGCCTGCCTGCCTGCTAAAAACACATTACTCACACTTAACTGGAACTAGATCCAGAATAGACGGTAAAGCATGGGATTACATATACTGTACAGGACATCATTACATTATTGAAGATTATGTATTTTGACATCCCCATAATTAATCGGACATTAGACAAGTTCAAAGAAATCACAGATATTTGTAGAAAAACAAGAGTGTATTACTATGCAGTGGAGCTTTCAAATACCACGCTGTCTGCATGAGAACCACAAAAAATGACAGGAGGAGGAAGTTAATCGTGCATGGCAGAAAGAAATACTTCATGAAAAGGAAGGAAGCGATGGAAAAGAAGGAAGGTGGGAAAATGTGGCAATAGAATGGATAAAAGAAAAGTCAAGGAAAGGAAGTGTTGAATCACAGGAGAGAATGAAAGGGAGGAAGTGCGCATTGCCATGTCTGTCAGCGTTCCAAGCAGATCAATGCATACGCTGGATGTTTCCATCTCAACATCAGCATAAATTGCAGCGTTTTGTGCTGCAGCTCACCTCCATCAGAACCAAACAAAATCCCTGTCCTCATAAACCCCAGAGCTTCCTTTATGAGCACCGCCATATACCTCCCCCAGAGAGACAGCCTCGTCATAACACTGGCTGAGTTAGTGCATCTGAAAATACTCGTTTTCCAAAGTGAGTTACAGAACAGAAATGTCTCTGGAGAGGATCAAGCATTACAGCACTATTTTAAAGACCCTGACCTTCCACATGAAGACGGTGAGAAACACTGAATACTGGTGATATTAGGCCGCAGCAGGATCTTACGGTAACTGCAGCTAATGGGAGAGACAACTGAATGAATGGCTAACGATATGGAAAATTGAGACAGCACGATGATTAAAAAGCCCCTTAACGCTACCAGCTGCAATGAAAACTGTATGCTTTTTTTGATTTTGTTCCACGGCCAATAGTTTGGGTTCATTTACAGTTCAACAGCGGCACGGAGGATGGCTCAAGCTGATTAAAGACCTTTCTAAGCAAATATACACCCAGTATGCTTGGAAAGCCTCCTAATCAGCTAAGTAGTACATGCATGCTCTGACATATCAGTTTATTAAGTACACCTCTACCGTCTAATTTAATCCAGTGCAACAGCCTTGCAGTAAATCCTTCCTTTGTGAAGCTTCTATTATTTGGGTTTAGTTGATATTTGGAGACTGTAGTTAGTCGTGTTGCATTGCATGTGGCTGCAAATGCATGCAGGAAGGATCATATCCATATCAACTTCAAGGTAACCTGTAGACCTCACTAAACAGTATACTTATATGAAACAAAATGTTGTTCAAAATGATAAACCCACAGCTAATTATCAGCAACGCTGCAGTTCCCCTCAGTTATACAGAGCGTTTTAGCTTCTTTTAGCTCATTGTTTTGGCTTTATGGCCTGCCCCTTTACTGTTTGGTTCACTGTCAACGAAGCGTTGCCAACTGTCCCTTAAAATACATAATCGTCCCATATTTAGAAACTTAAAGACGTGTCCCTTATTGATAAGGGACACATTTTGTTCCATATTTTGAAAATAAATATCACAGCAGCTCTGACTGCTGCTGCCATCTCTCTCTGTCCGGAATCAATGACAAGCTCTGTGTCAGTGTTGCTGTTACTAGAATGCTATTTCTATTAACCATTGAATAGCGCTGTCAGTGTTGCTAAGATACCGCGAGTTTCAAAAAACATGGCTGACGCTCCCTTGGTAAAAAGACAAAACATTTACAGAAATAAAAAGCAGAATGGCAATAAGAAATCGAATTGCTGGAAAACGTTGGAGATAACACGCGGAGGCCAACTCCACCGTCTGCCACAGATAATTATTATTAGTCAAGGTGGAATTACCTTTGAGGCACAAATAATTGCTTTTGTTTACAGTTGGTTATATTTTGTTTGTGAAATCTGAAATGTAAATTGTTTTTGCACTAATAATTGTTTTATTCCAATGAATATGTGAAATTGCCTTTTCATACTAGGCTACTGAAATTATTGTTTTTTTAATTTATTATTATCTAATATTTTTTATTATTAAATTTTTATTATTTTTATGATAAAGAATAACAAGTTTCAATTCAATTAAATTTTATTTATATAGTGCCAAATCACAACAACAGTTACCTCTGAGAGCTTTTCATAAAAGAGCAGGTCTAGACCATACTCTGTGATGATATTTACAGAAACCCAACAATTCCCACCAAGAGCAGCACTAGGCGACAGAGGCAAGGAAAAACTTCCTTTTAAGAGGCAGAAACCTCAAGCAGAACCATGGCTCAGGGTGGGTGGCCATCTGCCTCCACCGGTTGGGGGAGAGAGAGAGGGGAGGGAGGCAGCCTACACAATATACACACAGAGGGACAGACAGTAAAGGTGATGTTGCTGTAGACTAAATGAATAATGGTACAGATATTTAAGTATAGTGTTAATGATAATAATCGTAATGTTAATGATTATAATTACAATAATAACAATAGGACTAGTAACAATAATTGTAGCAGAGCAGCAGGAACACGGGGGCAGCAGGTGACCCGCAACCACAGATCCAGACTCCACAGCTCCAGAGCCAGAAACACCTGCAGGAAGTGATAGGAGGAGAGAGGAGAGGGACGAGAAAGCACAAGACTACCGGAAAGGGGAGAAGTTGTGTTAGTAACATGCATTAATGGGATGAGGTTGCATACAGAGGGAGAGAAAG